CCAGCTTCAGATGGGGCGATTTCGCCCAGAAACTTTACGTCGCAACACCAGCAACACGGGCCGCCCGCGATCGCACGCAGCAACCAATTTCTGCAATTTGCCATCGTCATCATAAAATTTTATTTTTCTTGCACTATTTAGACATTATTACGCGTTATAAACGTGTTTTTATGCATTTAAACCTCGTTAAGAATGCTAATGCACCTTTCTGAAACAGTTTATTTCCAAAAAACGATCAAGTTCAAACCAGAACCAAGTCTTTCGGTGTCATAATCACCGGCACGAGGTATCGCGCGAAAATTTTGCGTCCCTGATTGGATGCAGCCGCTTCAAACGTATTTGAATTGCTCCGAGTTGCTTGCTTATTTCGAGCCAAACCCGATCTCAGCAATTCGTGTCGATCTAGGGAAAGCTGGAGAACAACCCGCCATTAACACCAAAATTGCTGAGAAAGATGCTCGATCTGAAGGGGTCTCACGTACTCACCGCCCTCATGGCCCTCATTGCCCTCACCGCCCTCACGGCCCTCACCGCCCTCACCACCCTCACCGCCCTCACGGCCCTCACGCACTCATAGCCCTCACGCCACTCACCGCCCTCACGGCCCTCACTCACCCTCACACTCATGAATTTTCCTGGTTCAGAAACTCACTCACCCTCACCTCACCTGTGAGGATGAGGGTGAGTGAGGGTGAGTGAGGGCCTTCATGAGTGAGGTTTGCCGAGGTATGTCCCTCACTAGAGTTCCTGGGAGCCTATACAGGAACCCTATCCCTCACTGGGGATCAGCGCCGCAGCGCGGAATACAGAAAGAAGGCGACGAGCGCCAGAAGGGGGAGATGTTTCCTCTAATGGGCTTCATACTGCCTGCGGTACAACTTCTCGTGGCGGGAAGCTAATAAAAGAAAGATAAACGGTACGAGCACTCTAAAGGCTGGAGGCTGCTTACACGGGGTCCTCAAGCCGACGCCGTAGGCATTTATTTGCATACAATGTCGTTTCAACTTAGGGTGGCGGGACATATATATTTTAGGAAAGGCGCCCGCTACCCCTTGTCTCCTTTTGGCGCCGCCTTTTCCAGTTAAACGCGGCTTCTGTGGATTGACGGCAGAGCTTCCGCGCGGCTTTGCAGGAGCGAATATGTGTGTGTCGAACGGACTTGGGGAAAACGAGCCCTTTCAAAGATGCGACTATACGTAAATTAAATAGACAGTGCCTGTGCCCGTTCGAGTGAACACCGACTCCCAAATATCCATGCTGCAGTCGTGATCGGCCTTTAGCCCAGTTGAGATTCGCCGACCTTACAACCGCTCTGCCCTATCATATCTCTGCACCTGTCCTCTCGACCCTGACGAATGAACTAACTACCCAGAAACAAATAAGTGTTCCTTTGATACAGAAAATATCCAGACGAAGTGCAATTGAATATAATTTGGAAGGATCCATTGCTGGTTTAAGGTCTTGTCTAAGTTCAAAAGTTATAGTTTTCGAACTATAACGCTATAACTTTGAACTATAACATTATGCTTCCAGAATTCTGCGCTCTGGACATTCCAAATATACGGCGAACAACCAACGAACTTGCATGGCAGCGTTCGTTTCACTCGCTGCGTCAACAGTGTTTTGACGCCGCGAGCAGCGTCGAAACCGCCGGGCCATTTTTGTCGTTCGTTTCACACGCACTAGCACCGTTCGAGTTCTCTCCCAGAATGCATCGCACTCACAGAGACGAACTCGCCAAATGCACCGCGTGCAGAAGACTGATGTTGCCGCCATCTATGTTGTAGAAAAGGTACCGACTTCAAACCGAAACTAGCGCCCTTCTGTTCGGAGTGATGCGTGGGAATGCGAGAATGCAGTCGGCTACCAACGTTTATCTACAAACTGTGGTCGCTGCAACCTGTAGTTTATAGTTGCGATGACTTCAAGCAGCTCGGCTGCCGTAGAGATAGTTACAGACGGCGTAAATTTTCGCACCCAGTTTTATCCAAAGCAGCTGGTTACGATCTTTCAATTCTTATAACCGTTTACACTGAAGAAAACTGATGATGCTGTCCGAGCAGAAGCTTGATCCGTTTGAGCATGGTATTATGCGTGAACCACTGAAAAAGTACGGCTTAAAACTAGCCTGTTGGAATATCCAGCAAAGCTGGGACTTTCGATTTGGATTGTCATTATAGGTGGATCAGAAATTAGCCTTGGTGAGGGCGTCAAGAACGAGAGCTTTCTCGAACAAAATACGACGGGGCAAGTTAGCTGACGTAGGTAAATGTTAAACATGATGATGTTGCCCAATCCTCGGGTAAAGTTACCATCTTTAGCTTTCTCTGATGCTTATTGGGCAGACAGAGGTTTCTGCTGGGGGAGTGTTGCCGACAAATGTTAAATTTTCCACCCGCACACGGATGATGATAGACATCTCGGGGGCCGCTGTTACGTTTGTTCTGAGCATTTCTTTACACACTGGTATATTTCAGCGTTTGTACGGCAACAGAGCGATTTAAAACCTGCAAATAAATCACGGGTTGTCAATTGCTTCCTTCGGGAAATAGCAGACGCTCACAATTCAAGCTCGCGTTTGATTTCGTGGCCCGCGGGACGCGATTTCTATTAGAAAATCTACCTTTTTGTTCCGTTCGGTTCCGCGACACATCGTAGCAGACGAACCCTCGTCGCCTGCTCCCCTTCCTCGCCGGCCCCGCCGGAGCGAGGCATGACGGGATTGCATTTTGGCGCACTCCCGGTTTTCTCGGTGCAGCGAGTGCATGCACGCGTGGGGTATCAGCGCTGAAACGAACTCGGAGAGTGCAACCACTCGTGGAGTGCCGGCTGAAACGAACCCGTTCCACGCTGCGAGTGGGCACGCGTGGGCACGAGTGCCGTGAAACGAACTCGCTATAAGCCGCTCTTCCCGTTGCCGCAGCAGTTGAGCACTAGCTCCAACCAGAATGTCCGCCAAGGCAATGCCCTAAATCGACTGCTCACCTATACTCCGTTCCACCTTCAGTCTGAGCGCAGTGGACGCCAGAGGCCATCCCAGCCGATCCAGCGCCGGGAGAAAATCGCGTGACCTGCCGGTCGGGCAGAGGGACACAGGGAGCTCAAGGTCACATGACATTCTCTCCAAGCTGGATTGGCTGGGATTACTCCTAGCGTCCGCTGCGCTCGGACTGAAGGTGAAACGGAGTATAGTGTCGGAATTAAACCTATGTTTCATAAAGGATAGTGTCACCACAATTTTCGAAATACTTACCTCTAGCGTGGTCACCCGAAAGGTTTTAATTCAAAGAGTTCATCCCCGACAGGTAAATTGATACAAAAGCTCTCAAGATCTATGTTATGTTATCCGAGTTTAGTAAAAACGATTACTCCACAAAAAAATATAAACACTCCCCCCCCCCCCCCCCCCCCCCCGCCCTTTTACACCGAGGAACCGCTCCCCCTAAAATGGAGGTCTGTATCCGCCCCTGTATGACAGTGCTCACTCAAAGCTTGTTAAAAGAGCCATCATTATGTCTAGCTGTACATCAGCATTAGAAAAATCATGTGTTCACGAAATGGTGTCCAGTTTCCGCGATTAGTGTGACCGCCTTACTGCAGCAGGGCACCCCCAACACTTGGTGTGCGCTTGCTACAGAAGCAGAAAACTGGCAGTAATGAGCTGAGGCGAAAAGAAAAAATATGCGTGCATGTTATCCCGTACCACCACGGCCTGTCCCATAACCTAAAAAAGGTGGCGGCCAGGTATGGTCTCTCAGTCGTCTTTTCAGCGCCCCGCAAACTCAGTAAAGTGTGCCCTATGATGAAGCCAAGAATGAACATCAACAAATGCAAAAAGGAGCACAGCGAGCGCCACACGGAATGTGCATCTGGTGTTATCTACGAAACCTTTTCCGAGAAGCGTCCCAAGTAGCACTAAACGTAGCCACAATGTTACTGGAATGTTGTCCGGTAACGTTGCCGAACGTTGCTAACGACCGCGGATTCTACCGTCCAGTAACGTTACACCACAATGTTACAGTAACGTAACTGCATACGTTACCTGGACATTACCCAAATAATGTTACTGGAACGTTGTTAGATAACGTTGCCAAACGTTGCTAATGGCCACCAGTTCTACCTCCCAGTAACGTCGCATCAAAATGTTGCAGTAACATAGCTCTCTACGTTACCTGGACGTTAGATCAGTGATGTTACTCGGACGTCGTCAGCTAACGTTGCCAATTGTTGTTAATGGCCACGAATTCTACCATCCAGTAATGTTACACCAAAATGTTGCACTGACATTACGGCTTACTTAAAAGTGAAGGAATAAAAACGCGAAGAACATGCACAAACGAGCACTCTTTCATTTCGCAACAACATTTATTTTTTCAGGAGCAAAGAGTTGCACACAGGTCGAGATCAACTAGATACCAAAGGCGGGAGGGAAGAGGGGGATAGGGAGATAAGGGCCAGAACTGGAAAAATCTGGGAACCTTGACTAAAACACATGGACTGTCACTGACTCAACCCTTATCTTCCTGAAGTTCCCTCGATCAAGCCTTCCATTTGCAGTTAATCTTGACCTGTGTGCGAGTCTTTGCTTCCAAAAAACAAGCGTCACAACTAAATGAAAGAGCGGACATCTGTGTTTGTCCTCAGTGCTTTTATTCTGTCAACTTTCAGTAAACATTTTAACAAAATGCTGGCACTGGCCAGATATTACTGCATGTGTTACTTGGACATTATTGAACAATGTTACCCGAAAATTACTAACATTGACAAGCTTTGCCAAGAAACTGCATATATGGTTGTCATGAAGTCATTTTTTGAGCTGGTGCCTGATATGAGTAAATGGATGAGCATTACAGGCCATTAATGAATCAGCATTTTGAAGTCCTAGAAGCAAGACTCCAGAAGAAAACAAGAGGTTATTGGAATAAATTTATTTCAAAAACGAAACAAACGTTACAAGTACCAGTGTATGCTTCTGTTTATTACAAGCTATTAGATCTACAAAATTGTAAAGAACATGCTAAATTACAAGGCTGATCTGCATGGAAATAAAAATGCAAAATATTAAAATTCCCAGCAACATAAAGCAAGCAGCAAGCAGCAGAAAAAAAACCTTTTAAATGATTTAGGTAACATGAATCTTTTTTTTTCAATTCCATGCATTTAAGACGGTTAACCAATTCCATGCTTCCAACAGGGATCAAAGTAACCAACTACAGACATTTAAAACTATAACCGAAAAATCAAGGCAGAAACATGCTGAAAAACAGTGCAAAATGCACGGATAAGAGAACACACAGGACAAGGTGCTGTGTGTTCTTTTCTCTTTGTCTGGTTTTTGCACCGTTTTTCAACATCAATTCTTACCAACTAGCCCAGCCCAACTGTCCATTCTTGTAATCAGAAACATGCTTGCCTTCTCCCCTTGTGGCAGCCCCTCAGTCACTCCTGGGAAGAGGCACGCTGCTCCTGCAAAAAAATAAAACAAAAAAGTTGGTTGCGTTCAGATAATGGGTGCCTATTTCAGTGCAGAGAGTGTCATCAAGATAAAAAAAAATGCCTACCTCTGTCCTAACACAGTTTCGCCTCAGTTTCTTTGCATGCACAAGCCGTTCTTTTCATCCAGTTTAGACCTTTTCCGCAAAGTGTGACCTACCCACAAGGAGTGATGCGCCTGCTCAAGCATGTTTGGATGGCTGAGCACTGGCAACACGTTCGGCCAACAACCTGATATGGCAGTCCCACAGAAAACCATGCCATGTGTCTGATTCTCACTCTCCCTCTAGGCCTCTTTCAACTTCTTTACACTGAAGCATAAAAAGCTACCTGCTAGCAAAACAAACTCTCTAGCTAGCTGAAGCCTAACGTGGACCTAATGAAAACATGCTAGAAAGATTTTTAGGCAGTAATTGGGGCCCTGTCCAGCACTCATTTCTTTATAATCACAACAAACTAGTGTAGCAACTGGTCCACAGGGCACCTTTACACAGCCTTCTCAGGGTGTTCATATGACTATGACTGGAATGGCACCATGAGTGCCAGACACCTGGCACTTGCAGCTGATCAGCAGTCTTATCAACTAGTCATATCAATTCTCCCGAAAACGATTCCCTCTGTCCTCATTAACAACGTGGGGCAATGGGGTACAGGCAGGGTATTGAACCCAACCTGAACCGTGAACCGAAAAAAACCGTTATTTTTGCAAGAACCGGAGTTGACCTGGAACGCAATAATTTTTCTCGCTCCGGAGCGGAACCGATATTTTTCCATGCGGTTTTCGGTTCATACGCAAAGTCAGATTGCGTGAAAAGTGTGTGGCGAAAAACACAGTAACCTTAAAAGTAAACCAAAGAATGAAAGACAAAAAAAATACTTTTGCGCAAACCGGAGTTGAGCTGAACCGAAATAATTCTTTTTTCGTTCCTGGGCAAAACTGATCAATTATTTTTGTGGTGCTCCGTTCATGTGGAAAGTCAAAAAGCGAAAAAAATAGGTAGCGGAAAGCTCTGTAACGTTCCATTATCAGGTTGTCAGATAACGGTCGTCTTCATAATTTATAGTTTGTTTCGAGAACTCAAACGAAATGAGCAGAGTAACTATAAATTCTCTGGGATTTCTGGTCTTATGTATTTCTTTAACAAAAGTTCACATTCGTCCCAACCTTTTCTTGGTGACCGGAAATGCCTCCTCAAAGAAAATTTAACACTAGAACATACACAATTCGTACATTAGCAAAAGTGACCATAATGAGCCTGTTTGGTGGCAAAACGGTAAGTTGGGCTAGGTGGTTTTTCATCACGGACTGAACGAAAAAAAAAGGACAAAGAGAGGTATCGACAACACCCCTAGTGTTGTCTAAACCTCTCTCTGTCCTTGTGTTTTTTTGTTTTTTTTTTCGGGCTTAGTTTAACTTTTTTGCGTGTTTCTTGTCTCTAATTTTGTAGAATTGAGTTCAATTTACTTTAGACACCTTGATTTCATTGTACAACTGATCGGATAAGAAAGTGATACAAAGGCCGATGGATATTTTAGAACCTGCACCAGTTGCCATACTGTGGCGCATCTAATCTGCTCTCCAATTAACTCAGCGGATTTAATAATCAGTCCAAATTAAAGTCTAGCACCGGGAAGGGGAGAGGGGATTTAATCAACAGTTACAGTTACAGAAAACAGCAAAAAAGCTTCGATCTCTGGTAGCAGAAACAGCAAGGACCAAAACATTTTCTCCTCAGAAACACAAACATCAAGGCGCACAGCTCTTCTGAGCATTGCTAGACAAGGAGCCGCGGCTTTGAAGGGACGCTAACGTGTTACAGTTTTGGGAGGAAAGAAGGGGACGCCATCCAGAACTCTACCCATTGGCGCAAGAGCCCTGGGAGTGCCTGCGACCCAGGTCAGCGCGCAGTGAGCCTTTTCTGGACTGAAGTTCATTCTATCGTCTCAGAGGGGCCGTCTTTCCCCGGATATGCTTCTTCGGTCAGCCGCCTGACATTGAACAGCGCTTTTACCCACGTCCCGAGGTGCCCCAGCACTAGCTCGTTCGTTCCACACAGTAATGTGAGCCTTTGCTTTCTATTTGTAACACTTTTATACAATATGCATAGTTTATCTTTTGCTCGTCAACTGTTTTTGAAGCATATGAGTACGAACAGGTTCGAACCGGCTTGAACCTTTATTTTTTCACTCCGGAGTTGAACCGGAGCTGAACCGTTCTCCCTGAACCGGAACGAAAAGCGGAACGAAAAACATTTCGGTTCGACAAACTGGGTACAGGACATTTCATCGAACGCCGTTTCATTAAATCACTTGACGCCGTTTCATTGCATTTCCCTTTACTAAATTTTGGAGTAATACAATTCTTTTTGCATAATTTACTATCGCTTTTGAAATAGTTTTGACGCCGCTCTAAATTCACCAGAAATATAATTACTACCCGGTAAATTTTTTGCCCACCTAAACGTTGGCTACCGAATCATAGAAGGTTGCTATCATATTGAAACTTGAGTGGATACGAGACTTATTCTTTTCCGGCGAGGTAGGCGGCTGTTCTCGGCCACTCACATTTTCCCACTTCAACCCTCTATTCATGCGTGAAAGGCACTTTCTTAAGAGGGAAACAGCTATTTTCTGCAGCGCCTTTTTTATTTTGTATTTGTCAATTTAACTTTGTTTTCATTTTATCCTAGGAGAATAGCTTTTTTTTAAGAACATATATGTTCTTAAAAAAAGACGTCTCTGCCCTTTTCGGCAATTTTTTGTAACCGACAGAACCGTGGACCCGTCGGATCTTCGACATGCAGTATATATACTGTATGTCGAATATCCGGCAGGTCCACGGTTCTGGCGGTTATAATAAATTAACAAAAAGGGGAGACACGTCTTTTCTTTTCCCCGTATCATGGGCCACGGAGACAGATTACTGCTTCAAGGACGGGTATAACCGTCCTTATGCGAGAATGCATACCACAACTAGCAGCTTTGTAAATTAAAAATGACTAGATAAAAAAATGGAAGCCGTTTACAACTCCCTGTAACGACAAATTAGAGCGCAGCTCTAGAGGAGGAGGAGGAAAGGGTGTACCCCTCCCCCCTCCCTCCGAGCGGCGTCGCCGTCGGCGTAACTGTGAGGTCACGTGACCCTCCTGAAGGGGGGTAATGTGACCTCGGGAGGTCACGTGACCCCGCGGGGACGTTTCGGCACGGTGCCGGAACGTTGCCGCGGTTACGGCGACGGCGACACCGCTCAAGCCGAAAACGGGCGCCTAAGAGCTGCGCTGTAAAAGGAACACCAAAACAAAACACAGGTGCTCAATAAACAATATGGATACCATTCACTATCACAATTGCGGCTAACCAAGCTGAGGCTAATCACATAAAATAAAAAATCTAAAAGCTAGAAAGCGTTAAGAAATTGTAGCAACAAAAAGCAAACATACACGTGTGCGTTTTTGCTTGGGCACTGGTGCACGTTCTGGAAGTTGGAGGGGCTGGCTGAGTGCTAGGTCGTTCCTGCAGAAGAGGCAAGCTTGACGGAAAAGGAGCAGTCTCTTCCTTTTTCTTTTCTCCCGCTCTTCATTATTCGTTGATAGGTCGGACGTCGCTTCTGGATTTTTTTTCTTTGAACTTTGCATCTTCATATGTCACTGAAACAAGAAAGCCGAGCACACCAGTCAAATGTTTAACCACCACAAGCTCGTTTGCGCCCTAACCTTTTGTTCATTAAATCAAATATGCTCGCATTATGCTTAGACAGTTTTTAGGTTAAAGCCTGCCAACTTTTTCGGGCTCATGTATATAATCTGTCAGGATCGGGCCAAGCTCAGGCTTATATTAAACAAAACAAATATTTTGTCGGGCTTGGGCCGGGCTCAAGTTTCTGTCTAAAATTCTGCTGGGTCCGGGCCGGGCCCGAGCCGTGTCTCTTCAAGGCCAAGTCTGGCCGGGCCTGGAAATTAAATATTTTATCAGGCTCGGGCCGGGCCTGGGCCATGCCCCTACCGGGCCGGGTCGGGCCGGGCCTAGAAATTCTGGCTCGTGCAGTGCTCTAGCACACTCTACATTAGGTGAGCAGAGCCCGCGCCCTGCTCTAAGCAGAGCGCGGCTCTGCTTAGAGCCTATTTTTCTGCCCCAAGGTTCTCAACTCCTTGCTCAGGGCACTCAATGGCATTTGTGGCTCGTTTTCCTTGACTGGGCTCGCTTTTTGACAATATCCCTGATTTTTCCCGGTAATTAAAATATTCTTGACTATTCCCGGTTGCTAGACACCCGCTATACTTACAACATGATGCCATCACCTGACAGGAGAATGTGGCCCAGTCAGTAAAGGGCTCTTCACGCTCTCAATTGCCATCATCAACCGATTTGACCTGTAGGGTGGCCATGCCGTGCGGCCATTGCACGCCCAACAGGTAGGAACAACTGCAACATCATTTTCCGCCAAAAAATGGACCACAGAGTACATTTCCTGAAATCAACAAATAAAGCAACAAATAAATGGAAAACAGAGTACATTTCCTGAAATCAACAAATCAAGCCTGTATTACCTCAAAGGCCACTCATAAGCCACGAAAAATACAGTTTTCGAATTAAGCACAACCAATGTGCAACGGTTGCAAACATTGATCCCACTTGCAAGTGAAGTAGAAGAAAAACTGCATAGCCCTGGTTATATTGCAAGCAGACGCACTTCCACCTGATGTCCTGCACACTCCACACTGAATACTACTTGGAGAGCCCTGTAGCTCTAAAAATTCCTAGCTCTGATGATGGCAACTTTGAAGTATAAAGGTTGCCGAGATTCCGGAAAAACTGTCCGCAGATGCTACGGTTCCCATCCGACTAAATGAAGGATGGATGGATGGATGTTAATGGCTATTCCCTTTGTAACGGGCGGAAGCTTGCGCCACCTAGCCCAAGTCTAAAAAGACAAAAACGTGATTCCTCCCGCCCTTTTAAGACCAATTTTTCTCCCCCTAACTATCACCAGGCAGTGTGGGATATCACCAGGATGACCTTCGGGGGATCGGGCAAAACAACTAAAAAACATCACCCCCTTGCCACTTCCCCCGGCGAGGGAGTCTCCAATTTTCCTCTGGTCAAACCTTTTCGGCGTCACCTTCGCACCAGACCCACTGGGAGACAGGGTTGAGACTTTGGGCCGGAGCCACGCGGGAGGGAGTCCCAATTTTCCTTTGTCCCAACTGTTCCCAGCTGTGCTAGTTAGTTGTCCATCACTTAATTTTCCCTAGATAATTTCCACCAATCTTCTAATCGTCTCTTTGTCATTGTAATCTTTTTCTCTACCATCCCTCCATCGTCGCCAGTGAAACCCAGGGCCCCAGCCAAATCCGTTACCCCTTCAGGGAGGGCAGGACGAAGCCCCGTGCACTTCAAAACCAAGTGCTCCAGTAGACCACCATCATTATGGCAGGCAGCACATAATGTGTCGGTCTCCTGAAATTTAGCCCTATACGTCCTCGTCCTCAAAACTCCCGTTCTTGCCTCGAACAGCAAAGCCCTTCCCAGTGAATTGTCAAATAGCTTTTCCTTTCTTATCTCCTGCTTTCGTGACCTGTACACTGCTAAAGCTGATTTCTCCTGCATTCTCCCCTCCCACATTTTCCTCTCCGCCTCTTTCACCTTCTTTTTCACTGACGTAGTCTGTTCAGCCCCATCGCCAGTGTGTAGATATTTAAATGTAAGCTTTCGGGTTCGGTTCGTCCATTTTGTGTTTAAACTTTTCATGTATAAATACTTGAATACCTTACGTGCCCACCGCGTATCCTCCATTTCAGTCAACCTTTGTTCAAATTTCAACTTACTAATTGCCTCCCTGCTCTCAAAAGACAACCATCCCATGTCCCCCTGTACTCCCTCATTTGGTGTTTTTCCATGTGCTCCCAGCGCCAATCTGCCTACGCTTCTTTGCCGAATTTCTAGCCCTGATTGAACCTCAGATTTCATGCACAGCACTGCATTGCCAAAAGACAGTCCTGGCACCATCACTCCCTTCCATATATCTCTGACCACTTCATATCTGTTATAGTTCCATAGTGCCTTGAGCTTCATAATAGATAAATTTCTTTTCCCTTTTCTAATTGTATTCTCCTCGTGTTCCTCTAGACATTTCCTTCCCTCATTGAGCCAGACCCCTAGATATTTGTACTTTTCTACGTGTTCTATCACTGTGTCCTGTATCTCCAGGGGTTCCCCCTTCTCATCGTTGAAAACTATTATACCCGACTTGTCCCTACTGAATTTTAGTCCTAAACTGTCCCCTTCCCTGCTGCAAATCCTAATCAGTTCCTGTATTGTCTCACGGCTTTCTGATACGAGTACAATGTCATCTGCATACATTAACCCTGGCAATAGTTGATTTACCTTATGTCCTTCCTCCATGTAATTCAGGTCAAAACCTAGGTTGCACTGTTCTAACCTTTTTTCCATCCCACTGAGGTATATCATAAAGAGCAGGGGAGACAATGGGCAACCCTGTCTAAGTCCTCTTTTTATTGCTGCTGGTGTTGTAGTTTCGGCTTCCCATTTCATAATCACCCTATTCTCCGTATAAACCCGTTCTAGGAACTTAACCGTGGTTCCCCCTAGGCCATACCCTTTTAGCTGTTCCGAAAGTATTTCCTGATTCACATTGTCATATGCCCCTTTGATGTCCAAAAATGCTACCCATAATGGCCTTTAGCTTGTCATTGCCATCTCTATGAAGTTCCTAACGACAGCAATGTTGCCACCCTTCAGTTGAACACAGTTGTCGGACGGCTTCAGAGAAAAATGCGCTCCGTCTAAAACAAGCTCACTGCACTGGGTTCCATTGAATTTGGCGGCTCAGGTCCGTCTCGGTGTTGGCTAGGGTCGTCACAGCACAGCTGAGCTTTATGAAGTGTGCATAAAAGCGCTTTTCCAAATGGTTTCTAAGGAGCACTGGCCCGGGGGAACTGACAAGGGGATAAAGGAAAGGGGATTTTGAAGACGGGAGAGGTAACGCGGGGAATTCGCAGCGGGGATTTTGACACAGGTGTTTTGAGATTAGGTTATTTCGTGCACCACCCGTATCGCTCGTCTCAGATTCGCACTCGGAAGCTCGTTGGTACTCAAACTCTCCGGAAATCTTGCATGTGCTGCCACGGCCTGTTGTCCAGGTGGCAGAGGGAATGCTTCCTCAGTGTCCACCGACTCCTCACTGCTCGTATCCCAAATTTCAAGTTCCTTGCGAACACTTTCGGCTACCCTACGTCTTTTTTGGCGATCAGATAGCTCTGATAGCGAACGCTTCGCCCGCTCCATTGTTCAGCACAAGTAGCAACAAAAACAAAAATGAAACATACCTTGGTTTACGTTTCCTCCACGCCGAGAGAGCGGCAGAGCGGTCCGATGAAACAGAATCGGGCTTTGGGCAGTGTTGCCAACCTATTTTTCGAAAATACCCCACGGCAGCGTCCAGAAAACCCTACATTACCCTACGAATATTTCTTATTACCCTACGTTTTACCCTACGAGGCAAATCTTTGTTCAAATAATACTGTTGCATGGATTATGATGATACAGGGTAATATTAATACAGTACAAAGCGACAGGGCACGCATACACGCGCATACCTGCGTTATTCTAGAACACCATGCTTGCATCTTGCATGTGCATTGTGCGCTGTGTAGCATCAGAACTAGAGCACTATATAGCTCCTTCGGAGACCGGCGACTAGAGAAAACTTCGGCGCGCACTTTATTGGATGAAATTTGGTGACGTCACGACCAATAGGAGCACGGAAACAGACGCGGTCTCCTCAACGCCCGGAGAAACATCGGAAACATCGTGCCTGACTCGCTCCTGACCGAATGGCCCGAGAGTTATTAGGCCGGGCTTTCGGTGGGGCGGCGGTGTTCGCTCCGGTGGGCTACGGGGAAGTATTACGAGCGAAACGAGAGGCGCGGCGGGTGTATCCCCCTCCGCACGAGAACCTAAGCAGAGAGGAAGCCGTCCTTCTAAGGCAGCTTCAAGTGAAATGCATCTTCACGCCGGTGTTGGGCCGGTATGTGGCTCCGGACGTGTACAGAACGGATGCGTGTGTTATATGTGGGGAAAAGGCTACGGTCATGCACGTGTTGTGGGACTGCAGTCCGGTAGGCGCGCCTGGAACGTTGCCTGAGATGTTGGACGCCGGAGTCAAGGATACGACACTGGAAGGACAGCGAAGGGCCGTTCAGAAGGCTCGGGAACTGAGGGACAGGCAGGTCCGCAACCGGGCCCCCTGCACCCTTACCCCGGGTGGGGCTTTCGGCCTCCCCTAGCCAGATGGGCTAGCTTTTGAAGACAAATAAAGACGTTTATTCCTCCTCCTCCATCGTGCCTGACGAACCGTCGTCGAACGAGAGGTGAGTGGTTTGAGTTTTCCTGTGATGTGATCTCTATGTGTGTTCGTTCCACGCGTCCGAGCTGTTTCTTCGTTTCAGATCAATTTGGCGCCGCTGCCTACATTGTTTGAGCCTGCGTTCACGATTAAAACAACCATCGCAGAAAGCTGAAAGCCCGCCGAAGAACGGCTAACTTGCGAGCTAAACCTAATTCAACAAAACCATTTGATCCGACAGAATAATGTGCTTGATCTTACATTTCATGTCAACAAAGAACTGCGCTGTCTGTCTTCGTCCCTACATGTTTTATTCTTTCGTGTTTTTCAAATCTTTACCAACCCGCGTCCAATCGAATGCCCCGATCACAAAAAATAGTTGGTCGTGCTCCGGTGGCCCTTATCATCAGCCGGTAAGGCAGTTACGTTTATCGTTTCTATATTTTGACCCAAGCAACGTCATATTCTCAAACTGTGAAATTCTATCACCACCTCTAGTTTCACATTCTGGTGCACCGTGCACTTGCAGCTTCCTGCACCCCTGCGAGGTTTCCTGCGATCGTACCTTGTATATTATGGATTTCTCGCCGCACGCGAGTGCTCTCGAAGGCGTGCTGTACACTCTGTAACATAGGTTGTGTGCAGAAAAGGCACAGGCCCGAGCACAAAAGCGCCCTTTTTGCACGAGCAGCCGTGCAAAAAGAACATTCTGCGGAGCTACGCCCTCGCACCCGTGCCTCTGCTGCACACAACTTATTAATAACCGAGCCGTTCTCGTTTTTGTTTTGCATATTACTGTGGAAGAAGTGTCATTGTTGTTTTCTTCTCAAACAAAACTCACACGCTAGACAAAAGCAAACAGATAGGAGTCTGCACATTCACACCCTTTTCTCCCTTGTGCGACAGGTTATAGCTGGTCGCGACTCAACACCGTTTCTTTTGAAGCTGATGGGCACCACAAGGCGTGAAAGAGGTGACTTGCAGCTTTGCCAAGGCAGCAGCAAGACACTACAAGCCTTCGCATTAACTGGCTAGCCAGTGGCGCTCTGTTCTGAACAGCACTGCGTGCCATGCAGAGGGTTTGTGCAAGCTCGCTGGGTGGCGACGCTAGCCACGGTAAGTGCATCCTATGCAGCTTTCTTTTAGGGATATATGTGGCTTGGAGGCCATGTCGTGCATGTGCCACCCGAGGGACAGCAGTGCCAGTGGCAAGGCTGTGCTGATCGTAATCACCACTGCACTGTGTTTTCATTCAATAACTACTGAAAAGGAACCAAGTACTTCCGAGAGATTCTCGGTTGTGCTTTGATGAACTCCAGCTCGCTTACGGACTTGATATCTGTGTTAACAATGTAACGAGACTTCTTTTTAGTTTGGGGCGTTGTTTCTGCTGCGGATGACTAGCGTTGCAGTAGAGAAATATGCAAAATAGTGTAATGCTTGTATTAGTTACCTAAATTAATGGTGGGA